GTGGGAACCTTTTAGAAAGGAAATGGTTTAGTTTATTGGAATGTCGGCACAACGCACACGCACAATACTATAGGTACTGTAGCGTCAACTGTATACATATTACATCCTTTTTTTGGAACTTTTTCATAATTGCATAGTACTTGGTTATCTATCATGCTTGGCAACCCTTTTTCTTATCATTTTTGTAGTGCACAGCCCGTGAACCATGATCCTGATGAATGCTTGGAAGCAAGGTGGAGGGTCCTGCCTGCCTGTCTGCTACCAGCTTTGTGAATGCAAGATGAAGCCTTAACCAAGGCTTTTTCGGGAAAGGCCATCTTGTCTTCCGCCGCAGCTCCGGATGCATGTAGCTAACGCTTTGACTACTTAGGTATGCCGCATACCTACCGTATGGACATTAATCGCGACTTCCCGTCATTATGCCCCCTACTAAGCACTATGCCCCCAGTTTTTTTTTTTAGTTTTTTTGATGATGGGCGCCATTTTGCCCTGCTATTATCTTTGTCAGTTCAAGTCAAGTTTTATGTCTACAGACCCAAGTTTACGCAACGCAAGATTTCAAATCTGATATCCGTTAGCTGTAGCTGTAGCTGTAGCTGTCTGTAGCTGTACTGATGACCACCAGCAGATCCGGTCCTCTGGGCCTCGTCAGCTACCTTCTCCCGCATGGAACATGCAAGTTTCAAGCTTTGCTCTTATTTTGACCTTGCAGTGTTCTGTGAACTGCGGCATGTGCTTTCAAATTGACCATCTCGCAGCTCGTTCCAGTTTTTCAAGTTCGTTTCCCCAATCCTCCCCCGGCCGGCATGGAACGTGCAGCTTCAAGCTTCAAGATTTCCCCTCTCTCCTTGATCTCGTCCATCAGACAACTACTTCCAGCTTATAAAGATCCCCTGAACCTCCATCCATCAAGGTCTCGAGACTCTTTTCGCCCATTCCAAACCAAGCCTCCACTGCTTCTGTCTGTCTACGATCATGTAAACCACATCCCACTCACTCCCTCGTGTCATTTTGTGCCCTTGGCTTCCCGCCAAGTATGACGACCATGACTGGAAACACTGTCCTGATGTAGTGGGCAGGGGATGTTGCCATCCTGAGCATCGGTATCCCCCATAGCGAGCTGATAACCAAGTACTGCCCGCATGCACAATTGCAGGGGATTGCCCGTCTCGATGGACATCGATTGGTGATTCGTCGTCCGGCGAACTTGGCTGTTGGTAAGGTCAGGACACGTCCTGATGATTCCGCTACCCGATCGACGGCACAGTCGACCGAAGATGCCACAAGCACGTCGTCCGCAACGCTCGTATCGCCGCCTCTGCTGTCTCTGCCCAAGGACTCGACCGCCAACGACAATGACATCTACCCGACCAACAACAACACCAACAACAACCCTACCGTCGGACCTTCCACGAGAAGACCTTCCACACTTCGACAACGATCCACGATTCCCTCTCCCGACCTAAAGGACTCCGCCTCACTTGCCTCCATCGCCTCCTCCTCTACCGCCGTCTCCGACTCCCAACTCCCAAATCAAAACCCAAACAAAGATCAAGACCACAACACCCAAGTCTGGGGCCTAGTCTACCTCCTCATTCCGACCCAATACAGCCGCTTCCAGGAGCAACACCTCCAACCGTCCACCTCGCGGGGCAACCTCAACGTCGTCCAAATCAACCCGCCAACGCAATCAACCGCAACTCGTTTTCCCCATACCTTTGGTATCCCAATGATCTTTACCCGCCACAGACAATCCCAAACACCCACACGGACTCTCCCCCAAGCCCAAGTCCGCTTCTTCCAACGAGACCTCCTACGGCAATCAGCTGCGCGCTAACACGCTTTTCCAGCAACGGCTGGTAACGCAGTCCACAGAAATCTGAGCGAGGTTCAAGATTTCAGGTTAGTGAGGGTTTTGGTGCGGGCGGGCGAGGATCTGGATCCGACTCATGATGCTGTTGCCGAGGCCTTGTTCGAAGCGATAAACACTGGTGTTGGTGGTATTGGTGATCAAGCGGGGCAGAGTTCGGAAGCGAGGGAACAACAGGCTGGGAGGATTGGGAGGCAACAGAGGGACCAGAAAAGAAGGGGGGAGTTGGCGGATGGGTTGGTGTGCTGGTTTGTGGATTTGAGAGAGATGGGAGTTCCAAATCAATAGTTGTTGGAGGTGATGGAAGGTATGGTTGAGAGGCTTGAGGGACTGGCGATGGAGGAAGCTAATGCTAATGCCCCTGGGGAGAAGGCTAATAGGGAGGGGAAGAGGGGTTGGAGTTTTTGACGGTTGAAGATGTTCGTGACGTGGAGGAAGACGCAAGGGATTTTGAGGATCAATTGCTCGAAGCTGTGGACACTGCCGCGAGGGCTGTTCAAGCTGTCGTGCAAGGCGCGTCGAGACAGGTTATGGGGTTTGCGAGAAGGGGATTCGAAGCGTTGGCTGCTCAGTTCACGGGGGGAGGAGAATGGGCAGAGGGACGAGGGATGGGAGATGGAATGATTGTGGGTTTGCGTGTCAGTCATGACGGAGGATATCGATGAGAATCTGAACAGATATGACATGATGTCGGGATTGAAGTGAAGGTGTTGAGGGGAAGAATCGTCGGTAGTATCGCCACTTGGTTCGCCTATTGAGCTGCTAGAATGGCAGGATGGCTGGGGGGGAAGATGCGGTGGTCATACCCGTGCCAATCGGTAGACGTCGGCAAGAGCGACGGGACGGGACCGGTTGAGGTCGGTGGCCGTGCGCCTTCCACGCGGCAAACTCCGGGGAACCCCGCGATGACGGCGCAAACATTCCCCGCCCGCTCATCCAGTTCTGTGCACCAGGATCCCCGTCAGAACCGGGAGGCTCCAGTGGGTCGTTACAGTGGCTGTGGGGCCGGAGCCCGGTCTAGAAAACTCTTTTCAGAAGCTTATCCCGTTGTCCAGCTCCTCTTTCTCCGGCTCCTCATCCAACCACAACCGGACCAACCATCGGCGGTAGAGAAGGAAAAGGGCGAAAAAGGTCGCCGATCTGTTGGTAACAAATGGGAGTAAAACGTGTTTCTTACGCCGCCTGCAAATCGGGAGTGCCCAAATTTTTCCCAATATCATGGCCGGGGCTGCATAATGGGCGGAGTCTAGCACCTGTATGGCCCATAGCGTAGCCCTATCGCAATGCGCTATCTGTTTGGAGAGTATATCAACCACTCTTTCCCCGACATGTCGTCTGCTTTTCCGGTTCTCTCCTTTGACGGTTCTTCCATCACCACCTCTCTCACCTTTCAGACCCTATCGTAGCTACTACAATAGGAAAAGAAGGACCTGTTTTCGTTCATCTTTATCCCCCCTCTCCTCGTCCCTTGTTTGACCTCTAGTGACAACACCATTCGCACGCGACTCGTTCGTCACCTGGGTTGACCAACTCGGATCCGGCACTCCCAAAACCCCCCACGACAACAACCACATGTACAACACGAGATCGGCGTCTTCCAACTCCCTTCTCACCAACTCGGCACAGAACGAGGCCTACATGTGCCGGGTCATACACCAGCAATAAATTTAAGAGCAGGCGACTTCAAGTCTTTGCGCTTGCTCCAAAGACCGTAGGAAAGACTTAAGCGAGTGATTGTCATTTTTTTATACAAAAAACGACAACTCGTCTTAACTACAACCCCTTATTATCACAGAAAACATCCATCCTCACCACTCCACTCCTCTTGTTGGAGCGGAACTGTTACTTACGGTAGACGTATATACCTCTTCAGACCTGAGATTCAGAAAAGTTCACGAACAGCTTTCGTTATCGCCAAGTATCAATATCGTCACAAGTGACTTTGGAACTTCAGAGCTCCCAGTTTCACCACCCACCCCGTTGCCCAAAATGGCCAACGACACCATGATCAACCCCTCCAGCTCCGAGCCGGAAATGACCCAAGTAAAAAATTACGGCACCACCACCGTCGTCCCGGCCGAGCACACCACTTCCAACACCGACTCCCCCGCCGGCAACAACGCCAATGACGCCGTCCTCACCGACACCGACACCGACTCGGCCGACCTCGTCGCCCTGGGCATCCAAAAGCTCGAAGCCCAAAACGCGCATTGGTACTCGTACCTGATGACCGTCGACTTCTGGCTGATCATCTTGATCGGGCAAATCCTCTCTCTCTGCATCACGGCGACCAACACCTTTTCTTCGTTTCTCAACGAGCAAGGCACCTCGATCCCCGCCATCCAAACCATCTTCGTCTATGCCTTGATCTTCATCGTCTACTTCCCCACGGCTCTCTACCAGATGGGCGGTCCCCGCAACTTCTTCAGCCAGACCTGGCGCCACAGCTGGAAGTACATCATCCTGTCCTTCCTCGACGTCGAGGGCAATTACTTTACGGTCTTAGCCTACCGCTACACCAACCTGTTGTCCGCCCAACTGCTCAACTTCTGGTCCATCGTGTGCGTGGTCGTCATCTCCTTCGCCTTGTTGAAAGTGCGCTACAAGTGGTTCCAGATCGCGGGAATCCTGATCTGCTGCGGCGGCATGGGCATCCTGCTGGCTAGCGACCACATCACCGGTTCCAACGGCGGTCCGGGCGTGGACATGGTTAAGGGCGACCTTTTTGGTCTTTTGGGCGCCACGCTGTACGGCATCAGTAATGTCTACGAGGAGTGGTTCGTTTCCAAACGCCCCGTGTACGAGGTCTTGTCATTCCTGGGCTTCTTTGGAGTCATCATCAATGGTGTCCAAGCAGCCATTTTTGATCGGGACGCGGCTACGAATGCGACCTGGAACGGGCCTGTGGCGGGGTATTTGGTTGGGTATACACTGGCTATGCTGATTTTCTACTCCCTTGCTCCGCTCATCCTGCGCATGGGCAGCGCCGCTTTCTTCGATATCTCCCTCCTGACCGCCAACTTCTGGGGCGTGATTGTGGGCGTCAAGGTGTTTGGGTATGTGATTCACTTCATGTACCCGATCGCGTTCGTCTGCATCATTGTCGGCCTGGCGGTGTATTTCTTGGCGGGATCAGTGTTGGGAGATAGCAAGAAGCCGTGGTTGGGCGCGGATCAGAGTGACGGCGTGGCGGGCGTGGGAACGGCCAAGTTGAAGGCGCTGAATGCTGCGAGACAGCAGGAGGTGGCTGAGGGCGAGGCTGGGGGGAGGGTTTGAATTGGTGTTTGGGGCGTGTAGAGTGCGTATGTGAGGGGAAGGGGTTAAGGTGAAAGGAGGAGTGACCGAGTTGGATCTCGGCAGCGGTGGTTATTGTTAGGGAAAGCGGATGTTGAGTGAGTGACCCATGAGGGAAGGGGAGTCATGTGAAAGGTAGATGAAGAGTCCCTTTCGGCAAGGAGTGATCATCTCGACACCCTCTTGTCAGAAGAACTCGAGTTCATGGGAGGAGAGTTATGGGTGGGGGGGTGGAGGTTGGATGACTGAACAGAGTCGCTGACAGAATGGTTGCTTTAAATTCATTCATTCCTGTCAAGCAGACCTAGAGGCGTCCATCTCCTGCGATAGGATATGGTAATGGTTCTAAAAGGAGGTTGGAAAGGGAGGAGAAAGGAAGAGTAACACGCATGTGGAAGAGTCCAAGTTGGATACATCAGATTGAAACAAATAACAAACCAACTTGTTGACTAATTAGCCAGTTCCTGTCTAACCTGTCTTGTGACTCTGTGACTCTGCGACTCTTCACCAACCGTCGCAGTGATACGCAGCGTGTCTATTGAGGCCATGGTTCCCGCTGCATTTCGTTTACCTTTGACATCCCACATGTCACAGATACTTTACCTTCTTTATTGTGATGCACTTTGGTGTGCTACGACCGAGTCCTTTAAGCCTGGGCGTATAAATGGTAGGTATTGGGGCAGCATGGTCACTGGATACACAACATGGCATAACTGATTACGCAATTTTCAACGCAGCGCTGTTTATACGTTCCTGTTGATTTTGATAAGGGAACAGATATCGCAGTCAATTCGACAGACGCCTATGGGATGATAACATTTCATTCTTACCAAAACATTCATCCTCTACAAATTGCTTTTTGCCGCATTGGCCCCTTCTCGTTCTAGCCAGCTCCCTCGGTTTGTGTCTTCATCGCCTCACCAATACAAGTCATTGTCAGTTCATTCAACCAACAAGCGCGCCGTTACCATTTACCAGCCAGATCACAAAGGGGGCCATTCTTGAACGCCAAATTCAGATAAATGCCAATGCAAGAGCCGTAACATGTCCTAGCTGTAGTATAAACCACCAAATAATAAGACCAAAAAAAACAAAACACAAACAGCCCAACAAGCCTTCCGCCAATTCCTGTTTTTATACGTTCGAACCACCTCTTTGCAAACCAACAAACCCATAAAGAAACCAACCACATCCCGTTCCCCACGCATCGCGCCGCTACCAAGTTCGATCTGCCCATCTTCTGTAACAATTAAGAACCGCTTCCGTGCCATCCCGTCACACCAGTATTGTATGCGCCCCCTATTTCGCTTTCCATTCCGTCCCATAAAATCCCCCTACACTTCGGCACTCGCTCGAATTTTTTGTGAGGTTCATCCCAATTCAGACCAAACGCTCGCACGCTCCCAGCAACAAGCAACATTCAAGACACCAGCCAGCCAACCAACGAACAAAACTGGCCAAAAGAAAAAAATCATTGGCCCATTGCCATCCATATCCGACGCGCCCGGCCCACAACATGAATGGACCCCATTTCCCAGACTCCAATTGTGCAAAAGTCCTGAACAAGTCATTGCAGTCAGACGCTTGTCGATACCGGATTCCGGGAAGCTCCTTTAGCTTCTTCCAAGCGCTGTCGTTCATCCTCTTCGTAGTCCTCGTCCCCTTGTCTGTCGCCAGCCACCTCGAATGCCCCTTCCTTGAGAACCTTCACGTTCCCCTCCTTGACCTGGGTGTCTCTAACCCCACACGCTGGCTTGAACATTGCCAACCTTGCCCCAGCCGTTGGAACGGGTACCCCAGCCAGAAAGACCAACGTTCGGGCCCTCAGTAGTCGCCGAAGAAGGAGTGGCGGAACCGTTGTTGCCAGCCTCGTTGTTAGCCGCACCGTTGTAGCTTTGGTTCAACGGGGACGGAAGAGAGGACATCGGGCCCTTGTTTAAAGCAGGGTTAGTGGCGGTATTGCTCGTAGACGGCCGAGTTCCAATGGGCGCGACAGTGTTCTGTCCGGGCTTGCTGCCGGGAGCGCCTTGGCGCGGCGGTGAGCCTCCGGGAGACGAGGCACTAGTACGGTTCGCCTGGTGACCGATGGGAGCGTCGAAGATACCCTTGCCGCCGGACGGGTTCGATTGAGGGCTCGTGTTGCTGTTAGCACGCGACCGCTCGTGGGGGCCGGCAGACTGAGTTCCTTGGGCGCCCTCAGCCTGGGACTGAGGTGGGAAGCCGGAAGGGGCCTGGTTGTAATCGTAGGCCAAAGGAGAAGCTCCGCGGAGGTTCTGGCCGGCGGTCAAGCCAAAACGAGGACCGGCGTTCTCTTCGCCATAGCCGCCAGCATCAGGGAAGCCCTGTTCGCCGCCGTACAAAGCACTGCGCTGCGAGGCGATCAGTTTGCGGCGTTCCTCTTCGGACATGCCGCTGCCCGGACTAAGGGTACGATCCGCCGGTTTGGCACCGAACTGTGAGGATGAGTCGGCAAGGACGCCTAGACATGTTAGCCAAACTTCGTAAAAAAAAAAAAAAAATGGTCTGAGAATGGATTTGAGTGAGCGGCCAGGGTCGACCAGGAGCGCCGATCTGCCGATCTCTACAGACGATATCAGGACACACAGGACAAGGGTTGCGTCGAACCGCACTTGTGGTGGTTGCAACAATAGGAGATCAGAATGTGTGTTTTTGTGACCCGCGAAGGCGCCGAATCTAATTTTTATGATTTTTTTGCTCTCTGTCGTTTGGCTGTGATAAGGGAACTGATTTATACAGAAGAGGGCGGCCTACTTCGGTTGTATTGTTGCTCTTGGTGGTAGTTCCTAAGCTCACGCTCCCGCTGGGCAGCCAGTCTCCTCTTGGCCTGCATCATCTGCTCCGCTTCGTTGGAGCCGCGCGAGGGCTGGTGACGCTGGGCAGCATAGAAGGTTTGCAAGTTGGAGGGCTGGTGAGGGCCGCGCGCATCGTTGAAGTCGGCCATGGAGTGGGGGCGGGGACCGGGTCCAGCTCCCATGCGGCCGCCTGTTACAATTTCACGTTAGTGGGCTGAGGAACTTGGGGTAAGCCCGGCCAGTCCCAGGCAAACTTACCGAAGTCTGGGTAGAATCTGGCTGGGCCGGGAACAGGAAACGACTCACGGCGGCCACCAGGCATCCCAAACATCTTTCCGCTCTTGACGAGGTTGTCGATCGCGCGGTCGACCTCTGCAGATAGTCTCTGTCAGCATACACATCCTCCTTTTCGAGTACTGTCCCTATGACAGCTAGTACCAACATCCCACAGTTATATATATGTGTAGAGGCATTTTGATGTTCGACATGGCGGTTTGGATAGGGCTCGGCTTGTAGCCAAGTGGGCCGAGGCTTGCCGGAGTATTTACGTACCCTCGAGCTGATAAGCAAAAGCGGTAGGCTCCTCGCGGGGGACGGCAGAGCTAGCACCTGATGATGAAACCAAGAAGTTAGCCCTTGTTCATTGATGGTTATGGACGCATCGGTCGAGGTATAGGGGATGTAGCCATGGAAGGCAGAGCAGAGACTAACCGGACCGCGCGGGCGGAGGAGGAGGGGTCTGGTGTTCCCAGCCCGAGGCTTGGCCGCCGGCGGGAGGCCATTGGGGTTGAGGGGGCTCGTAGTATCCGGACATGATGTCGGTGGACTCGGTGTCGCTCGAGGACGACGTCGGGCGGATATATATCGGAAGGCCGCAGGAAGGGGGTGACAACCTAGACAGGGAAGACCAGGTTGGTGGGATCTCGGTTTGGAGTTGACTCTGCGGGATGTCAGTCGGCAATCCAGGAGACACTTTTTAGGATGAGACCATTAAGGTGTGGTGTGTTCTCCAGTAGCGGCTGGACGGGATATTGGGACAAGGCGCCAAGCGTTAGGCCCGGACGACCAAAGGTGAAGGACGGTGGCGGTTTCCCCGATGCTCAGCACGAGACACGAAAGACCGAGGGGTGATCAAGGTGAAGGGGACAGGGCAAGGCAAGTGCAAGTGCAAGGCAAGAGTGGAGGGGGTCAAGCTGTGATGATGAATCGGGTGGGTGTGAACAGGATGGTGGTATGCAATGCGGTCGGTGCAGATGCTTCGTAAGGAGATGGAATTGTCTGTTTTCTTGGTCCCCAAAGATCGATTCGGGCGTGGTGGCGCACAGGCAGGCAATGTGAAGTTGGAGTGACTGGCATCTGAATGTTGGAAAGGGAAAAAAATGTTTCCCCTGCAACCCGAACATCTGCGGTCGTTCTGCTATGCGGTGCCAGCCAACGGTGGTGACCGTACCGGTGTCGGCAGAAGAAAAGGGCTGAGTGCGCCTCCCACGTCCCTCGATCGACTGTTGACTCCCAAGATTGAACGACACTTCGGTCTCGATTGTCACTCGTGCGGTTTGTGGGCTCTTGTTTGCAGCGAGCGAGTGGTGCTTACCTGTCGTTGGAAACCGGATTCCCTCTACTGAACAATCGACAGACGGGCCAAGGGGTCGAGTCGGGAGCGGGATGGAAAAGCGATTGGCAGTCGAGATCCAAACCAGAACAAAACAGGAGGAGAGGAAGGGAAAAGTCGCAGTCGCAGCTGGACGCGCAGCTGGCGTTTTTAGGAGAAGAGTGGACAGCACTGGCAAGTACGACGGACCGCTGGTAGGCGTATCGGTAGGCCAGAAGTGGGAAAGTGGAGGGTTGCGACAGAGGAAAAGACCGGGGAGATGGAGGTTGCTAGTCCCAGCGCAATGTGCGGAACGTGGGTCGATCTGCCTGACGTGGTGGTTCGTCGAGCCAGGAGAGGTCAGGTCTGTCAGGGTGTGCAGGTGTGATCCCCTTTTTTTTCATCGCTCTCATCGTCGACTGGTGGGATAAAGTCCTTTCCCTCTCGGTGCCTTCACAAGCACTCACCAGCAGTGAAAACAACCACCCGATACTTCAAGATGAATGAGAATATCATCGTAGAGAGTGCTTTGAGGTTCTATAGAGCCCCCCCCCTGGTCATCTGCTCTGGCATCTTGT